ATTAGTGCTGTCAAATGATTAATCGCATCCAAAATAAGTTTTTGTTTACAAAATATATGTATATTTATTATGTATATATAAATACACACACATACAGTAAATATTTAAAAAATATTTACATGTATATATTTATATTCTTATATTTGATATTATACATAAATATATTGAACATATAAACATAGCATATTTTTCTTAAATATATACATGCATGTGTTTGTATTTATATATACATAATAAATATACACAGTATACACTCGTATATTATGTGAACAAAAACTTTTATTTTGGATGCGATTAATCGCGATTAATCATTTGACAGCACTAATATAAAAGTACTCTGGTGGTTTAATAACACAACACTTGCCTTGCGTCCAGATTTCTGTGCTTGCTTTTGGTTGCCTGCCTTCTCTTCGCTGAGGGGTGCCAGCGCTTCTGTTTGGAGTTCGCTCGGCAAAGCGTCAAGATTCAGACTAGTGACGGCAGCACGATACGATTTATTCCTGCGATTTCTCCTCATCGAAATCCCATCGCCCAAATCACTGTCATAGTCCTCCCAGGAGAGGTCTGTGGGCTGCAGGCTGACGGGAAGGGTCACCACGGTGGTGTGGTGGCGGTTTCTTGGGCGGCTGCTCACAGCCAGGTTCTTGGGGATGAGCTGGCAAGCGCCCTGCCTGCGAGCTGCTTCACTCTGGGTGCTGAGCACTACAGTTCTCTGCTCATCCTCTGGGGAATCCACTCTGGACAGGTTAATGCTCGAGGAAGAACGTCCAGGCGGCTGCTCCAGCTGAAGCACCGAGCTGAAGCGGCTCTCCGGAAGAAGGAGAGACTGGTTCCCTGTGGAGTCATGGAGGTTTCTGTGGGACATGGCGCCTTCACCGGGATTCCTGATCGGCTGCTGGAAAGCGTTTGTCACTAGAAGAACATCAGGTTGGGGTCACCAGCACACCACAACACTAACCTGTTACAACAGAGATGGGTGGAGAGACGGACTACTCAGCTGCAATTCTGACTGAATGTCATTTGAAATCATAAGGGTGGAAGTCTTTTCATTGTAAACAGATCTCAACAGAAGACAAAAGGCAGGTTAAGTGCACTGGAGGCGAACAAAGCATTGAAGAAACTATTCACCACCTCTTTCGACTCATCAACAAAGTACTCAATGAAGCCTAAGGAAAAGTTATTATGTTCTAGACTTTGCTAGTATAATGAAATTATCACCTAAAGATAATGAAACAACATGTCCGGCTCACATTTCACTCCAAAATCAAAAGAATCCAATATTGCATAAAGACAAAAAAAAATAACCATAAGTTGTTTTTGTATTGGGTGTTAAAAATAAAATACTTTTGGGTTTAGTAATTCCATTATTCCCAATAGGGATTGTTATTAGATTATCATTACTGTAATTCTTTATTGTACTGCACTTTTTTTCAATTCAAATCTGTATGTTCTGTATGTTGCAAGATGTAAAAGTAAATAATAAAATAGGAGTGCACACCATTTTTTTCTTTTGAAACTCAAATCAGAATAAAATATAAACTCCATCATAAATACTACTACACTCTAAAAATGCTGGGTTGTTTCAAACCAATTTTGGGTGAAATATGGACTAACCCAACTGTTGGGTTAAATTTTGGTTACATTTTTAAATTAACTTTTTAACCCAACAGTTGGGTTAGTCCATATTTGACCCAAAATTGGTTTGAAACAACCCAGCATTTTTTTAGAGTGCATAATCAACTGAAAACTATATATTAAGTCACATTTATTTAGATAACCCTTCATATAACACAGATTGTTTCAAAGCAGCTTTACATTAATAAACGGGAAAATAACACTTAATGCTATCAAATTCGTAAATTATGAAACAAACTCAATTTTAGCTGTTAAGCAGAAGATAATCATTATTCAGCTCAATTTAGTTCAATATTGTTTCAAATCAGTTCTATATCTGTCAGTGTTGCAAAGTTAATCAATTATGAATAAGCTACAAGCAGCTCTACAGGAGGCAACAGGTTATTAACTGTCTTTTTAAAATAATTATTAATGCATAAATAATATAAGAATATATATATATATATATATATATATATATATATATATTTTTTTTTTTGCATGCAGCTCCATCTGTTTTAATACTAATTTTATAATTTTTATCAGCATTGCCTCATCAGGATACTGCCACTGCCGCTAATAATACTGCCTGTTATTATTCCGGGAACCCAATCTCACATCTGTCTGGAATGTCCCTTGATCACGGAAACAGGTGCACACATTCACGAATCACGTTTAGTTTCGTATAATACTCACATAATTATTCCAAACAAACAAAAAAAATATGCCAGTTGGGCATGAGTTAATTCACTCTAAAAAACAACCTTTATTTCTAAGAGTGCAGACAGATGTGACAATACATTACTGTAGATTTCCGCACATTACAGGAGTCAAAACATACACTCTATAAAATGCTGGGTTGTTTCAACCCAACTTTGGGTCAAATATGGACTAACCCAACTTTTGGGTTAAAATGAAATGTAAAAATGTAACCCAACGGTTGGGTTAGTCCATATTTGACCCAAAGTTGGGTTGAAACAACCCAGCATTTTTTAGAGTGTATAGCCTACATTTACAGTTTATTATAAATCCATGCTATCATATTTAAAATAATAATAATAGAAGTCCAAGAGGATAATCCACTAGTCTGAACTGTAATTCAGAGCCGTTTTATTTTCTTGACAGAACTGATAACACTTGCAGGAACATTTTAACCTATAACTGATGCTAGTTATCTGGATAAACAACTCACTGTAGCTGCATTTCACGCCCAGATGAACTAGATAACTAGATACTCTTAGTCCGTTTAAAGGTCATACATAAATACAGGATTGACTTACCCGGCTAATATGATTCTGAAAATGAGCAGATGTCAGATTTCTCTGCACGGATCCTGAACATACTCTATGTTCAGCAGAACTTCACCGAATTCCTGCAGCTACACCTGTGCATCGCGCGCACCGCGTCACTCAGGTGAGCCGAGCCGAGCCACACCCACCGGAGCTCGCGCGTTCACTTCCTCAAAATCTCACCCAATCTCGCAAACGTTTGTATTTCTTTACATACTAATGAGATGACATTCATTTGTGCACTTACGGTCACATAGAAGAAGTGGAGGTGTTTAATTCGTTTCTTTCTTTTTAATCTGCTGGTTTTCAAGGACTGCGCCACCTGCTGGTAAAGTGAGTCACTACATGAAGCTGATTGAGCTTGAAGTTGATTCTTCTGATGAAGTCAGTGTAGTTTTAATACTTTTAATGTTTCAGTATGATGCGAGATTAACTTTCTCCTAAACTACTGTCGATAATAGGAATATTTATGAGTACACATTGACAAATTCAATTCACTTCTACTTCTATTCAGTGTTGGGGAAAGTTACTTTTAAAAGTAATGCACTACAATATTGCGTTACTCCATAAAAAAGTAACGAATTACGTTACTTGGTTACTTTTTTATGGAAAGTAATGCGTTACGTTACTTTTGCGCTAATTTTTAAATCTGGACAGGGCTTGCTTGTTTGTTTTTAAAATAAAAAACTTCTATTTTTGGCAAATATAAAAGCCTTTTCACACCAAAAGTGAAATGAATAAGCCTCAGGCTGAAGGGAAAGTAAAGTTACGTCCGTACAGTAGAATGCAGAAGAAGACATTTCAACACACTTCAGCAATAAACAAAGACACATATGTTCGTCTAGAGTAATTTGTGCTGATTAGTACGCTTGAACTGAATCATCGAAGGTCCAATGAATGACAGACAAATTACATTGATATGCATGTGTAAATATGCACACACATATACTTTCTCACACATACGCACACACACATACAGATTCACGTCCGGCACTTTTCTGATGTCTAGTTACTCTAAACACATTAACAGTAAAGAGCAAGCTACAGTTGCCAAGCGGGAAAGAAAAGCTTCATTTTTGGGGAGCGCAGCATGGCTGAATACACCGTCATGATTTCATGACATCCTTTCCCCCGCCAATGTAAACGTTCTATGTAAATCTCAGTACAAAGGGTGACCGGGATCAGATGCAATAGAATATTTAAGACATTGGCTTCTGTTGTCCCATTATGGGTTTCATAATCTGTTTTTCAGCAGTGGTTGCTGGATAGGTCTGATTAACATTCTGAGTTTCGTTATCTGGGTAGACTTATATGGCCAATTATCAGTTGTGATCTCTGATGCCACCTGGTTGTGTTTTTGCATTATATACAGTGCAAAGAGACTACTGGAAAAATGCTTCTTTTTTGCACGTTTATATATATATATATATATATGGGTCAAAGACGTTCAGATGTCTGCATCAAAAGTGATTTTATATCCATAGAAAGCACATTAAATGCAAGTAAAGTGTCTACATTTAAGGTTTCAAATAAGTTTTTGAAAAATAAAATGTAAAAATTTGGTTGAAATAATGTTCCATTGTCATTCAGTGTAACACTTATATTTATGTAAAAATTCAAACAACATGCTTATTCTGACCTGTACATATTAAAATATATAAAATTATAAGGGAGCATATTACATTTTATTGCGTTTTAAATGAGTAAAAAATTCTTACTGACAAATGGGCAAAACATAGGATAGTGGCAAATTAATAATAAAAAAAGGAAAATAACAACTAATTAGTATTTTGGGGTGAAAGTTATTAGTTTTTTAATGTCATAAATTGATTTTTGTTGTAAATATGCCTGACAAGATTGTTACACTGAATGAAATTTTAGTGGGTGTCTTCTGTAAATCAGGGAAAAATGTATGATATTTATTTTTTGCTCAGAAAACCTAAAATACAATTACATGAAACAGAAAACTTTTTTTTTTTTGTGGAAAAACAACAACAATTTAAAGCAGTATTGTTTTTATGCTTAAACCCCTTTTTCGTCTTTGACCCATATATACATATATATAATTTATGGTTTCCAACTTGCAATTTTTTATCGAATCAATATAGATGCATCATAACAGAAACGTCACTTACTTTATGTAAGAATACATTGTGCCATAACACCTGTTCAGGACTTATCACACTTGACCGATTATGACCACTTAAAGTTAATTAAAAACAAAACAAATCTTTAATCTTCTACAATGCATCTTCAGAGCTCAATAACATTTACTGAGATTCAGACGAAAGACGAAGCGCTGCTGACGTGGTCATCGAGCAGAACGCTGTCTGGTGCCCCACGCGTGGTTTGAGTCTAAAGGGTCTGGCAGATTCTCAACAGTGTCCTACAGTTATACACCAGCAGAGAACTGTGCGAGAGCGGAGGGGGTGACGGGGAGTCTACTACTGTTTCGCTATGTCGCCTTTCTTTAAAATAATCTGCCGCTGCCACGGCGCCAGCTTGGTTTCATCATAGCCCAGCGTTCGTAGTCGCTCCAGTTCCGACTTCTCCTCGTTCTCCTTTTCCATTTGCCGCCGTTCCTCCTCTTTTCTGCAGGGACGAGGAGAAACAAGAAAAAGGGAATTAGGTGCATTCACGTTTTTGATAAAATGACATAATGCACATTAAAGGGGTCATATGATGCGATTTCAAGTTTTCCTTTCTCTTTGGAGTGTTACAAGCTGATTGTGCATAGATAAGATCCCTGAAGTTGCAAAGACTAAAGTCTCAAAACCAAAGAGATATTCTTTATCAAAGTTAAGACTCTGCCACGCCCCCCCTAAAACGGCTCGTTCTAACACGCCCCCACATATCTACCTCACTATGTGGAAATATTTGCATAATGCGCCCAAATGTGCACGCAAAGAAAGAAGGCGTGGTTTCAGTAACCGCAGTTAGTGTTGAAGCAGCATGTCAGGGAGACGCTGTGTGTTTCTAGGCGAAAGCAAAAGCACTTTATTTGGCCTTCCGAAAGTAGATGCATTTAGGAATCTTTAAGATCACTTACAACAGAACAGCAATGCATTTTATGGATGACTGTTTCGTGAACCTAGGAGAGGAGGTAATTCTGACTTTGCTATGACAATCTGGCGCTTCTGAATCAGCTACTGGTTTGTTATTAGTTTAAGTATTTGCTATTGACTGTTCAAATGCGGAGCTTTGCACATCGTGTGTGTGTGTGTGTGTGTATGTGTGCTCGAGCGAGAGACAGAGAGAGAGAGAGAGAGAAAGCGAGAGAGCGCGAGAAAGAGAGCGAGAGAGAGAGAGAGAAAGAGAGAGAGAGCGAGAGACAGCGCGCGAGAGAGAGAGAGAGCAAGAGAGAGAGCAAGAGAGAGAGAGAGAGCAAGAGAGCGCGAGAGAGAGAGCAAGAGAGAGAGCGAGAGCGAGAGAGAGAGAGAGAGAGAGAGAGAGAGAGAGAGCAAGAGAGAGAGAGAGAGCAAGAGAGAGAGAGAGAGCGAGCAATATTTGAAAAATAATGTGTTTTTTGAACATTAAAGCATGTCAACATTTTCTGTTACACCAAATACACAAAATAATGATCTTTAAAAATGCATCATATGACCCCTTTAATACAATGTAAGAAACAGAAACTACTTCTACAGCTACCACTAGTACTGCTATAACTAGACGTATGTCTTACCTTTTCTGTTCCCTGTCCATCCAGGAGTGGATAAAAGAAATAAAGGATTACATGTATAGATATATGTATATGTTTAAATGCTTGTACATTTGCCTAAAAGCTACTACAACAATTTAAAAAACACTACTACATAAAATAGTTTACAGTTTTACTTACATCTGATCACTTTGGTTTTATAATCCATATAAGACATTGAGAGTAAAAGACAGAAAATTCACAGATTTGCATGGAAACATCAGGTTATGTGCCAATACTAGTATAACTTTACAATACTAGTAAATACTACTATAACTTTATTAAAAACTAGAGTGTATTGAAAACAGTAAAAGCTTGAGGTCTGAATGAGGTTTACAAACAGTAAACAGAAAAACACAGGAGACAGTAAGAAGCAAACAGAAAGACTTGCTTTAACTCACCTCTCGTCTTCCATCTTCTTCTTCATGATATCTCTCCTCCAGGCAGGCAATGACGCCAGACGGGCAGCCTCTTCTTCAGCCTGACACACACAGAGAACAAAGACAAATGGCTGCTGATGAGATAGTTAATAAATCTCCATGTAGACAAGCTGAAGATCATTTTGATATCACCACAGTGACATGCACAACATAGCAAAGCCACTCGTACTATAATTACTTAAGTGCAGTTTTTATTTTTGGGCAACTGAAACTTCACAAACATACTACCACCCTACCTTTTGAACAATATCTTGGTTATTGTGCCACCAAAACACTAGTACGTATTCCTAAAATGTACGCAAAAAGGCCGTGTGAAAAGTGATCTTCTTCCTCCATTCAGATGTAACTATAGCCCGGCAGAGCTTCTCATTTCCCCTCAGCGCGGATCGATTACCTCGACTGCTACTGTGAAGCCACATCACTGGTAACAGCCACAGTATCTATGTAAACTAATCTGCGTCTTAATATTTCATTATTCCCCTGGGAATTATATGCCATGAAAAAAAAACGGAAAAAAAGAATAAAAATGCTTGACAGGGGTCATATGATGCTATTTTAAAGATCATTATTTTGTGTATTTGGTGTAACTGAATATGCTGACATGCTTTAATGTTCAAAAAACACATTATTTTTCAAATACTGTACATTATTGTAGGTCCTCTATGCCCCGCCTCTCTCAAACAGTCGTTTTCAACAAAGCCCCTCCTTCCGACAAGCGCAGTCTGCTCTGATTGGCCAGCTGACCCAGTGCATTGTGATTGGCCGAACACCACAAGCACGCGTCAGAAATGTAACGCCCCTTACCATAATCGTGAGCTTCAGCTTTCAAAGTAAATATCAAGACAGTTAATAATGTTGTTAGTTTTACCATCAGTTCAAGCCCGAAAGGGGAACAGAGTCACGTGACAGACACAGTGATGATGCAGTACACAAGCCGCGGGTAAGACAGCTGACGTGCTATGATTTCTGACAGACAGTTCACTCTCCTGTCATGTGACCCTGTTCCCCTCACACACACGCGACGCGTTACTCTGCGCTGTGCAAAACTCTGCATTTGAAAAGTCAATAGCAAATACTTAAACTAATAACAAAACATACTTACAGTCGCTGATTCAGAAGCGCCAGATTGTCATAGCAAAGTCAGAATTGACCCTTTGTGCACAGCCAGCCTTGTACTCTTCTAGGTTCAAAAAACTGTCGTCCATAAAATGCGTTGCACAAATTCGAACATCTGGGTTGTGCTGTTCTGTTGTAAATAAATCTTAACAAATGATTCCTAATTGCATCTACTTCCGGAAGGCCAAATAAAGCGCTTTTGCTTTCGCACTGAAACACAGCGTCTCCATGACATGCTGCTTCAACATTACTGCTGTTCCTGAAACCGCGCCTTCTTTCTTTGCATGCACATTTGGGTGGCATTATGCTAATATTTCCACATAGTGATGTAGACATGTGGGGGCGTGTTAGAACGAGGCATTTTAGGTAGGTGTGGCTGTCTTTTAACTTTTATAAAGAATATCTCTTTGGATTTGAGACTTCAGTATTTGCAACTTTACAGATCTTCTTTATGCACAATCAGCTTGTAACACTCCAAAGAGAAAGGAAAACTTGAAATCGCATCATATGACCCCTTTAAAGAAAGTTTAGAGGATGCAGCTGTGAATCACACTGATGTAATTTCTTGCCACATAACAATCAGATCAAACAATTAGGTGTTCTTCCATCAATACTTCCATTAATAATGTATAATATTGCTTCCCTTTACAATGTTGGACAATGACGGCCTGCCTTCAGATTTTGTCTAATAATTTGAAAAATGTAAATGACATTCTGTATTGGCTCACAGAAAGAAAACCTGTTCATAAAGAAGGCTTTACTGAATCTATAGAAGAAAAAGGCAATCCATTGCTGTAGAGTTTTGTAAAAGTTACACAAAATTTTTAAAACTTCAGTTAAGAAAGACACTGCCAGAGATACTCCACCAGAGATATAAATATACGCATACACAGAGATATAATGGTAAATCTCATGAAAATATCATATTTCACTTAGAATCAAAATAATTTATATTTTCCAAAAGGGCAATAAAGCCTATTTTTCAGCCTATTATACATTGTTACATTATTTTTTATGATAGTTTCCCCTAAAACTGTCATTATGGAAATGTATGCAGATCCAGTTTATTGGTAATTTTCATTAGACTCTCACTACTGAAACCTGTCTGGAAACAATAATAATATTTTTTTTAATTTTAAATCATAAGGGTAAAAAAAAAACTTAATTTTCTTTAATCAAAATATAATATTTATTTTAATTTTGTTTGTATATATGTGACCCTGGACCACACAACCAGTCATAATGGGTACATTTTTCGATATTGAGATTTATACATCATCTGACAGCTGAATAAATAAGCTTTCCATTGATGTATGGTTTGTTAGGACAGGGCAATATTTGGCCGAGATACAGCTATTTGAAATTAGCTATTTGACAAAGTTACAAATCTCAAAGTCCACTCCAAAGGGAGATATTTGGGGGTTTTTTTAAATCCCTTTTCAAGAGCTACAATGAACGACTCGTTTGGACTACAGCGTTTGTTTTCCGGGTTTTGTTATATCACAAAGCGGCCCATTAGAATATCATTAAAATAATTCCTGTCCACAGAAATTCTAATGATTGGGGGCCTCTCCAGGAGAAATCAAAACACACAACACTAAGAAACTCCGCATCCTGAGGTAAAAATTCAAAACGGAAAGTTTTTATATTTAAAATGCAGTTAGTTAGGCAACATCATACAGCATTTTCACCATTACGACTGTTTAATAGTTCTATAAACAGTTCAATAAGCAAATACAATAATATGGCCACTTACATTTTAGGCGTAAACACAGCGCATCTAACAGCAACCAGCCGATTCATTGCTGTTCGATTCCGTGTTTTAAACGAATCGGTTGAATCAAAGTTTCATTAGCCCATGCATAAACATCTGACGAATCTGCCGTTTGAACGAATCATTTGAATGAACGACTCAATCTTGTAAATATTTCTCACTCATTAAACGCTCACTACTGGCATTTTAATTTCGTTGAAAAGTATCATTTCCACCATCATTTCTTGTTTGTACATTCAAAAATATTTAAAAGAATCTCATAATATTATTTAATGCAGTTGTATTTTTCAGTGTAAATGATTTAATTTGATGACGTATAGATAATCACAATATTATAATTGAATTTATAGATCAAATGTAAGAATTTGAAATTAAAGTATTTATGAGATTAGTGGGAAAATGCCCTCTATAAAGGTAATATATATATATATATATATATAAGGTCGATACCATAGAGCCCCCCCACCCCCACATAGAAAATCCCAATTTAACCACTGTGGAAGCTAAACTGGAGTTCATTATTTGTAGAGCAAAAATTACTGTAATAAACAATACTATTAAATGGTCAATTTAAGTCATTAAGTAAACACTGGCCTTTTAAATATTTGTTCTTAAAAAGAACAATCATTTTATTATTACTATAACAGGAAATCACAAATCATGTCCAATCATAAACTTTAGATTTATTTAATCTTGTAAATATTTCTCAAAAAAACGAACAAACCATCAAACTGACACTTCACATATGGCTAGACACAACAAAACTGTAACAGCTGAACAATATAAATGTCAATGTTAGGTGTAAAAAAAAAACCTCTTATGAATACCAATGGCCATAAAAACCTTTGTATTTGACTTCTTAAGTAGAAATCCACCTGCTTTTTAAAACCTCTTAAAAACAACATTGCCAAAAACAACTCCAAATAAAAGACAATCAAACTGAAAGATAAACGAAAGGTCAAGAATTCACATCCACAAATACATCATGAATAAAGGCATTGATTATGTTCAGAAACTAAGTGTGTGTTCTTAAATAACTCAAGCACGGCAAGAACATGTTCCCTCTTAGCCTAAACAATGATTCTGATATTTTCCAAATAATTAGGCAACATACAGAATAAACCACTTAAAACAGATGATGTAAAACATATTGTAGTGGTAATTCATGTCTGTTGTGATAACTTGTGATACTCTCAATTGTAAGTTATACAAACACTAAGGAACAATAGTTGAAAGTTACAAAATTCAAATGGCTTTTTAAAATAAATGAATCAGAAAGAATTCAATCAATAAACAAAAATGATCAGAATACTTTTACATAAAATTTCAAGAAAATGTATCTTGTGCTTCATTGATTAATGATTTAAAGCTCTTTGAACAGACAGATATGACTGTTCAAATGAATTAGCACACCTAATGCCTGTGTGAATCTTTTTATTGTTTAAATCTTTAAAAGTTGAACAGACTGTAAATGTTCTGTCACTTCACCTTGTAAGATGAAGTGCTATGATTTCCATGATACTTCTATGTATTTATTGTTTTATATGCATGATAGCAATTTACAAAATAAATACATTTTACACCACTGCTTAGAGCTATTCGTAGGGTTTCATTTGCATTTGTATCTTTAAAGCTCTTCATGGCTATTAAACAAATAAGAGTAGCTAAATATTTAATTTTGTATGATGCTATTAACTTGGATTTCAAAACGATTACAGCTCAACATTTGATTGCTTTTTTTGACAATCAAGATGTTTCTGGAAGTAAACTGATCACTGATCTGCTGAACGCAAGCATTTATTCTGTCTCCTGATAATTGTGTTTCATCCTTCAAATAATCTGACCTGACAAGTCAGATGTCGAACATCTCAGCCTCCTTCTCTTTCCAGAAGGCGAAGCTTCGATCAATGTATCTGATAATTTCCTCATTGCTAAACTCTTTAAGCTCATAGATGAGCTTGATGGAGTCCTCATTGGGTTCCTCTTTAATATTTGCTGGGCCCTGTTCGTTCACAGTAGGAATGCATGGGGCTTCTGTCTGGGGGCTTTCAGCTGCTTGCGTTACTATGTTTTCTGACTGTGGTGCATCCTGTGCATGATGACGTTCATCAGGTGATGAAGAGGTACTACTCTTCTGTAGTTCTGTATCAT